TGTGGCGCGGTGCGGAGGCAGGGGGACACCACAACCAGGCCTCACGAGCCCCACATCCACTCTTCTCCACCTGTGCTCACAGATGGCCCCGGGCCCTGGCCCTGCGGTGTGACAACCAGGGTGTCTGAGTAGTGGGCGCTCACGCAGACGCCCAGTCAACCCCCACTGCCAGGCGATTTTCTAGTCGAAGGTGACTACTCATCACTTAATGGCTATGGGTGGAGGGAAGTCGTGACTCCGCGATGCGACAGTCGCCAGGCTGGGTCCGTTATTATGAGATGGAGACCCGGCGCCCTGGCTGGTCCCCCACTGCGGCCGGGGCTCGGGTCCGGGTCTGGGCAAGTCTGGAGCCACGCCCCTGGAGGGTTTTGCCCGTAGTTTCCGGGCTGGCTTCCTTGCGAGGGACACGTCGCCTCCTTGCGGCCTGTGTCGAAGTTGCCACGCTGGCAGTCGCTACTGGAGGTAGGATTACCCTGGTTTCGTCTGAGGATGCAAAACTTTGTGGGACTTCCAAATCTGGGCGCATTCGAGTCCTTTCAGCATCTGAACTTTTTCTGTACTTGAGATCTTCCACCTGCAGCAGCCCCTCTTCTTTCTGGGCCCTTCTTTGTATATTTTGGGTGGTTCTTCCTCTCCCAGTGGGAGACCTGAGAATATCTACAGCTATTGGTACACCAGGGCTGTCTGTTAAATGAACTAACTTTTATTTTATTTGTCTGTGTCGTGTAATTTTGGAACGTTTAAGAATTTTTTGAGGGAGCCTGGGTGGCTCCATCGCTTAAACGAGGGACTTCGGCTCAGTTCATGATCTCCTGGTTCCTGGGTTAAAGCCCCGCATCACGCTCTATGTTGACAGCTCAGAGCCTGGAGCTGCTTCGGATTCTGTGTCTCCCTCTCTCTCTCTGTCCCTCCCCAGCTTGTACTCTTTCTCTCTCTCTCTCAAAAAGAAAAAGAAAAGAAAAGAATTTTTTCAGTTCAAATATGTGTATATATTTAATATATAGACCATTTGATTTAATTTGTGTGTATGTTGTGAAGAAGGGGCCCAACTTCATTCTTTTGCACATGGATTTCCAGTTGAAAAGACTATTCTTTCATCATTGTATTGTCTTGACGCACTTCTCAATATTTGATCATAGATGTATGTGGTTTTTTTTCTGGAATTTCAAATCTATTCCATTTATCTACACATCTGTCCTTATCCTAATAATACCATCTTGATTAGTGTGATTTGAGTCCTTTAACTTTGTTCTTTTTCAAACTTGTGTTAATATCGAGTCCCTTGCTTTTCCATACAAACTTTATCTTTTTAACGTTTATTTATTTGTAAGAGAGCACAAGCGAGAAAAGGGCAGAGAGAGGGGGAGAGAGGATCTGAAGAGGGATCCACCGCTGACAGCAGCCTGATGTGGGGCTTGAACTCATGAACCGCGAGATCACGACTTGAGCCGATCGATGTCAGACGCTCAACCAGTTGAGCCACCCAGGTGCCCCTTTCCGGATAAACTTCAGAATTTCCTTGTCAGTTTCTGAAAAACAAAATCAGCTGTGATTTTGATAGGTACTGTAGACCAATTTGGGGAGTATTGTCATCTTAACAATATTAAGTCTTTGGATCCATGAACATAGGATATCTTTCCATTTACTGAGGTCTTCTTTAATTTCTTTCAACAATAGTTTGTAAGTTTTAGTATACAACAGTGCCTGAATCCATTTTATTGTTTCTCTGATTCTCTAATTCACTTACATTTACTTTTGTGTTTATTATTTCTTCCACTCACTTTGTTGTATTAAAAACTTCTATATACTTAGTTTACTGTGTCATTCTTTCTTATTTAATAACAACATAATTTAATTCTATTAACATAGCTCTGATAATATATTCTATGCATTATAATTATATGCATTTTTATTTTTTTTATTTATTAAAAAAAATTTTTTTTAACGTTTTATTTATTTTTGAGACAGAGAGACAGAGCATGAACTGGGGAGGGTCAGAGAGAGGGAGACACAGAATCTGAAACAGGCTCCAGGCTCTGAGCTGTCAGCACAGAGCCCGACGCGGGGCTCGAACTCACGGACCGCGAGACCATGACCTGAGCCGAAGTCGGCCGCTTAACCGACTGAGCCACCCAGGCGCCCCTATATGCATTTTTAAAAATGTTTTTCATTTATTGTAAGAGAGAGAGAGAGAGAGAGAGAGAGCAAGTGGGGGAGGGGCAGAGAGGGAGGAGACACAGAATTCGAAGCAGGCTCCAGGCTCTGACCTGTCAGCACAGAGCCTGATGCGAGGATCCCACTCACGAACTGTGAGATCATGACCTGAGCTAGATCATGGACAGAGCTAGGAGGCTGGGGCTTCAGGCTGCTACATCTCTCCGCTGTGTCCCTCACTGGATGTGCCCTCAGTCACAGAGAACGGCCTCACCCAAGGTCATGCCGCTCCCAGGGGCTGATCCCTGCCAGTGACTGAATGGTCCTGGGAGATAAAACGGGTCCTGATCCCATTGCTTCAACTGGGGACAAGCAGTAGAGTGGCCACCCCGGCTCCAAGTCTCCTCATAGCATTGTCTGAGGCTTATCTCAACCAAGTCGTCCCTCAGCTCAATCCTGCCCCCTCACTTCCTTTTGGGGGTATCGCCTCAGGGTCCACAAGAGCCTTTTTGCAGGCAGTTCTTTGTCTCTGGATCCGCTTCTAAGGAACTCAACCTAAGACACAGGACAATACAAATACATGTGTCATTCAGGTATGCTCTAGGGACCCTCAGGTGACCTAAGCCAAAATCTGTACTTCCAAAATAGCCAGCATGCAGTGAAAAGTCTGATAGACAGTTACTACAAGAGCTTCAACTATTTACCTTTGAGAAACACAAAAGACTCCATTAATTAGCATGACAAATGTTAGAAGTGGGTTTTCATTTGTGTATCGAGTGAGTGGCTTATTAATGACTAACTTAGTGGGGGTGCCCTGGCTGGCTCAGTCGGTAGAGCAAAGGACCCTTGATCTCAGGGTCATGCGTTCAAGCCCCACGTTGGGCATAGAGTTTACTTAAAAAAAGAAAAGTTAATGTAATGTGTGTAAAAATGGGCTGTTATTGGTGAAACTGGTAACATGCAATGTTGGCTCAAATATTTCAGATACTTCCCACCCTTGTTTGAGCAGTATGTAAGAATCCAGTGAACCTTCAGGGCGCCTGGGTGGCTCAGTTGGGTAAGCATCCAACTTCAGCTCAGGTCATGATCTCATGGTTCATGAGTTCAAGCCCCGCATCCTCAGTGAGGAGCCTGCTTGGGATTCTTTCTGCCCTTCCCCTGCTTGTGCTTTCTCTCTCTCTCTCTCTCTCTCTCTCTCTCTCTCTCTCAAAATAGAATAAAACTAAAACATTTAAAATAATCAAACAAAAAACAATAACAGAATCTACCGAACCTTCATCATTCACCTTCAGGAATGGTGCCCAAGGCATGAATTCTAAATCATCCTGTGATCGCTCGATGGTTCCAGAAGGACCCTAGTTGCCTGGTTAGCTCTATGGCTAACCGAATGGTCCTCAAGGATGTGGTCAGGTGCCCCTGAAATGAACCTTTCATGAAAGGTGAGTTCAGAGCACCTAGAAGGATAGCCTGCGGGGACTTCATCAAAATTACATCAGGGGCGCCTGAGTGGCTCAGTCAGTTAAGGGTCCAGCTCTGGATTTCAGCTCAGGGCATGACCTCATGGATCGTGGGTTCGAACCCCACATCAGGCTCTGCTCTCTCCAGCACACTCGCCTCTAGCTGCTAATCGGTGTAAGCCCAGTATTGTGTTCAGATCTCAGTTCTCCCCGGGGAGGGATCAGTAGCTGCCAGGAATTGGAGGTAGGACTTTCCCCTCACACAAGCTCACTACTGGGTAATTTGTTACAAGAAAACCTCTCAGAAGGAATTCTACACATGGGAGAATATTAAACAAACAAAACCAAAAACCAAAAAACAAGCCATGCTCTGGGGCGCCTGGGCGGCTCCGTCGGTTGAGCGTCTGACTTCAGTTCCTCGTCATCTCACGGTTCATGAGTGTGAGCCCCGCGTTGGGTTCTGTGCTGACAGCTCAGAGTCGGAGTCTGCTTCGGAATCTGTGTCTCCTTCTCTCTCTCCCCTGCTTGCTCTCTCTCTCAAAGAAATAAACATTTAAAAAATTAAAAAAAAAAAAAAAAGTAAGCATTTGCCATTTGTTATGTGTGTAACAGATACCTCCTGCACCCGGGAGTGGGGCTTTTCCTTTTCATGATAGTGTGTTAGGTGTATATATATTTATAT